GGGGTAAATTGCCAGTTATCAGTGATTCCAATATTTTGACGAGCGCCAGATTTCACCACGATGCCTCACACATGAAGAAACTCGTTTTTATGAATTTTCTAAGAAAGCTTGATAGACTGAAATGTGGTGTGCTGAATCGACCGCAGTGGTCAATCATCAGAAGGCTGCAGCACTGTGGTGCTCTTTAAACAATCGAATAGATTCAAAGATCACATAGATGTTGTTGTGGAAAGGGCAAAGAAGGGCTTGAATGCAGTGAAGGGCATGGTAGCTTCGGGAATGGAACAAAGGCTACTGCTTCTTATGTATCAGCAGCTGGTTTGGGCAGTAATCGATTATGGGCTCGGAGTATTGACCTTGACAAAAACGCAACTGGACAAGTTGGATCGAGTTCAAAATGAAGCCATGCGCATCACGCTAGGCTGCACCAGGGATACGCCAATTATCTGTAGTATGAGGCATGTATTGGGCCTCATGTCAGTGGAAAACAGACACAAAGTGGCTCAGGTGAGGGTGTACATGAGGATGGCGGCTGATAAGCAACACCAACTTCTCGAAGCCATTGGAGCAATCAAGGGAAATCGCCTAAAACGAGGAGCTTCTTGGATGGCTGAGGTTGAAAACACCATCAAGGAAGTCTGCCCAGTGGAAGATATAAAGCGGGGTGAAGAATGGATACAGATGAATGAGAGACAGCAGGGAGATTTTGGGAAGATAGTGATTACGCTGAACAGAGAATGTAGAGAGTGGCCGCATGGGGCGACAGATGCTGAGATACGACAACAAATTGAAGAAAACTCACGGCACGGAGATGTGGTTGTATCCACGGATGGATCTGTTGAACGAGGGGAAAAATCTGGATGGGGCTTCTCAGCAAGAGTGAGTGGCAGATTGGTGCAGGAACAGCGGAGAGCATACGATATGACAACATCTAGCATGAGAATGGAGACAGAGGCAATCACTCAGGCTCTCAAATGGGTCACAACAACTCGACAAGCACACGTGATCCTTGTCACAGACTCTCAGAGCACTCTGAGGAAGATTGAAAGTGGGAACCTTAGAACTGAATGGACAGAGCTCCTGAAGAAGACAACACTGAAAAAGATCACGTGGATCTTCACCCCGGGCCATGCTGGAGTCAAGGGCAATGAGCGGGCTGATGAGCTCGCTGGGAAAGTAAAACCAGGAGGGAAGCTGTGCCCTGACAAATCTGAAATTGTACGTACAGTCAGGGAAAAACGAGAAAAAAAACCCAAGAAGAGTCGGAATACCATCATCTTGAAGTTCAAGACTTAGTGGGAGGAGCAGAAGGCTACGGAATCAACCATTGCTTGGAACCGTCAGCATCTACACACTTCGAGATGTGCTTCTTCAGGGGACGGAGCGCTTATGAGAATGCCCCTTGTGCAGTGATGTCGGTCCTTCACACAAGTAAACAAGTAATCAAGTAGACTGAAATGGCAGCACAAAGTAAATTTAAAGAAAAAAAAGACTCACTAGATCCACCCTTCAAACACCCACTAAAGTTAGTTACAGTGTTTCAAGGCGTCACTAAATCAGATTAGTCACATTTAGAAAAAGGGTCATAGATAGATAGATAGATAGATAGATAGATAGATAGATAGATAGATAGATACATAGATACATACATACATACATACATACATACATACATACA